ACCCTGAACCGAGGTGGAAAATAAGAATGTTCCTGATGGATTGAAAGATAGATATCCAACCGGGTGAGTGTGGGGGGCAAAATGTGCAACGACAGGAGGTTGCTGTTTCTGAACACTGCATGATTTGCCAATGTCACGAATGATAATCTATGATAAGGAATAAGCGAGCTCAAGTAAAGTTTCATCAATTATAAATCGAGTTACCAGATATATTAATACTGACCGCACCCACGGCACCATTTTCTTTATCGCTTTCAAAACCATTGCTTCCGGTAATTGAAATACCGCCACCTTCCCCACCATTGCTGGTAACGCCTCCCATTCTCGGGTTGTAATAATAACCATTCGATGGGCTAGGTTGCGGCGAGAAAGAGCTACGTGAAGCTGGACTCATACTACCAGCGTGATTTTGAATGTTTATAGGCATGGTTGATTGTGGTTTAACGGTTAAACTCTGAGATGAATTCGTAAAGTATGATGAGATCGTTTGAAGTCCGAAATCACCTAAGAAGAAAATGTAGACATCGACATATGCATAAATTCATGAACAATTCGTGTTAAAACATTTACGCGAAATCAAGAATTACCTAAAAACTTGACGCCATTGACGACCTCTTTTGCAACACCTTTGGCTACCTCCTGATATTTGCCCGCTGTTCCGATTACACCATCTCCATCACCTATCATATAACCGTCCTTTTTAATTTCGGGTGGGTTACTCGTTGTTGCGTAGGCCAACAATCGCGAGCCCATTGCGAAAACTGGAGTCCTGGTGGATGGATTGATTGCCACATCTTGCAACGGGGAAGGGAATAATGGTGCCAGCGTTAAAGGTGATATGATAAAAAGCCTTGCCGGATTGACAAGACTCTACGGATGTAAATCAAGAACGTAAGTTTATTGAAAGTAATCTTGTATATAAAATCCTGAATTCAGACCCACCACAACAATAGCACGCTCATTGCAATCCACTCCAACGATGTTTCCCTCATTCTCAAAATCCAGATGCTTTACTATTTGGTGTGTTCTCAGCGAAAAAATCTTCAAGACACTCTTTTGCTTTAAGTATGAATCTTGCAGAACTTTTTCTCGCGGTGATTCTGGTATACAGCTGTATGCATAGATTTTGAATTAAATAGTGGATCGGCAGATAATCAAATTTGAAGATAAGATTTTCATGTTGCAGATATCGAACGAGCCTAATGAGCTTACACTATTCCAACCAGCGGACGAACTTCTGCATACTTGTCGCGAGCATCCTTGGGCGTATTCCGTGGATTAGGTATTACCTGATATTAAAAGAGATAAGCCATAGAATATAGGAAGCTTGAGGGAATCCACAGATATTTACCTTAATGCACGTGACCTGACCAAACTTCACCTCATCCCTTATGGAGATGAGTTCGTGAACGTTATCGGGACTTGTCACATTCCATATTTGAAATCCGTCGGGATAACCCAACATAAGGACCGATTGGCTATTTAAAAGGATCATATACAGGATCAATAAGTTTGAGAATTGATTGAGATATCACGCAAACCGAACAAAATACCTTGCCGAACCACTACCATTACCAGAATTAACCGATATAATTTCATCAAATGCAGAGTACACGATCACATCTTTTTTTTTTTCAAAAAGTCCATCTGGCGTCTGATGCAATGGTGGATCAGTATCGCCAGAAAATTGACGTGGTATATAATCCGTACAATAATTTATTGAATGTTGAGAGTCTACTATGTTAGCTTTGCGCAGGGAGGTGAGGGAAGTCGGAAGATAAGAAGATAATCCGTATATTGCCGAAGAAATAGATTCCAAGGTGGAAGGATCCCTGTTGAAAAAGAGAAAGGGGTGGTCAGGAAAGGTCATCTCGAAATGACCAGTGACGGGTAGGTAGATGCCGGAAAATCAAACATGCCTCAAGAACTTTGGGTCGGCCTTGATACCACTGATACCGTTTGATTGAGGAAGGGAGGACATTATTTTATGTTCGTTTTTTGCCGCTTAAGAGAAGAACGTCGGAGAGGTGGGAAAGAGGGAGAAAACCAGTAAAAAGCGGAACACACAGATTAGGTATACTTCCAAGATCTTAATGTAAACAGTAAAACGGGGAGTCAACAGTTACAGTTTCTATAATTATAAAGAAAGACTTTATCGAGCAAGTTTTAAGTTGGGGCGAAGGCAGTGTTACTAACAATAAACACGGTAGAGGAACGGTTATCAACTACATATATATATACTTTAAATCAATTAAGTGACGTCCTATATGCGGATAAAACAAGTAACGGTGAGTCATTCACTCTAAAAAGATTGAGTTGGTAATTCAGACCTATTAGGAAATTCACAGCACGCAGTGCGTAAAACACGCACACCCATTTATCATACCCTAATGTTTATATTAACCGAGAAAGATCATTAAACAAGTTGTGAAACATACAAGTTACCTGCGGCCGTATCCAGTCAGGGATTTTCACTATCTATAACAAAGCAATCACGAGAACTTTGGTCATAGTTAATCTGACTTTGCGCGCAAATCTAATAAGGATACTTTGTTATGTTATTCTATCTATTTATAGAAGTTGATCCATTAAAATAACGTCATATGCCTTATGCAACATCATGCTAAACTTGTATCATGTGATTCCAGAACTTCAGTTGCATGATTTTAGAAATTTGATTTTTTTAAATAAAAAAAAAAATGTCACCACGTGATACGATATATAAAAAAGAAAATTTTTTTTTGATTTTCGAATTTTTTTGAATCGGCTACACTGGTTCCGCTAAAACTTTTTTTTTTCTGATAATCAGGATCCGGTTATACTGGTTCCTTAAAACTATTTTTTCTGATAATAAGGAAGCAGATTTCTGCTTTTTTATTTATTTCTTGGTAATTTTTGAGCAGTGGTAATAATTTTACCCAACTAAAATGGGTAAACGGAATCGATCAAGTTTATTGCCAAACAACCTTCCCCAACTTCAAAATTTGATAAAACGAGATTCGCTTTCGTACAGGGAAGATTTTTTACAACAATATAGATACTTTGAGTCACAATTAACCATTTTTCAACTGAAACCGGATGAAGAGGCCGAAGAATTTGGTAATTTAATTACCTTTATCTCACAGGTAATTGATCCAAGTTTGTTCAATCGGCACTTCTATCCCATCGATTCCACCCGTTCGATATTATTCGTTTCAAAAAATTAAATCTAAATTCTTTTTTAACTTGCACAGGTAGCCCAATGCTATCCAAAGGAGACCAGCAACTTTCCTCAGCAAGTGATAAATTTACTTTCCGAACATCATCAAATATTACATCCTAATCTTCGAAAGACCATGGTACAAGGCCTCATATTACTTCGCAACAAAGACATAATACCAAGCATCACGTAAATGAACTAGTTCTTTCAATGGTTAAGGGGCAGAGATTTTATTCTTACCAGCTTGGAACTTTTCTCTTTTGAATATCTACAAAATTTTAGATTATTATCCTTATTCTACACATTGTTCCGAGTGCGCGACAAACAACTTCGTGAATTGATCTACTCGCATATAATCACCGATATAAAAAACTCTAATGCCAAACACAAAAACAACAAGCTTAATAAGACCTTACAAGGTTTCATGTACACCATCCTTCAGACCACGAATAATAATTCAGCTGAAAATGCAGTGGCCGCAAAGAAAAGTTTAGATGCTTGTATTGAATTGTATAGAAAAGGAGTATGGTGAGTGACCACTTGAACGGTGCTAATATTTATTTATATGTCTCCACCAACCGAGATCGATAGACATTCATTTAACATCCTTACTAGGAACGATGCTAAAACTGTTAATGTTATAGCGGAAGCATGCTTCCATTCTGTAACAAAGATAAAGGTTTCGGCCATTCAATTTTTCTTGGGAACCAATAAAGAAAATCAGGATGATGATAGTGATGACGAGGTTTGGGTTAGATTTATGAGTGCATCCTACAGATAATTGATTCAAAGCATTTGGGATCATATTACCTTATCATTCTTGTCGGTCTAAAGGCAAATCTCCCCGACATAAAAAGATTACAGCATATAAATCATATAAACAAAAGAAAAAAATCTAAACTGAGAAAATTAGAAAAAGCGATGACGACGATCAAGAAAAAGGATAGGAAAAAAAGCAAAGCCGAAAGTTTCAATTTTTCAGCCCTGCATTTGCTAAACGATCCTCAAGGTTAGTTGCTGAAATCTTTTCTTAAAGGTACAAAACGACGGATTTTTCATCAATGATTTTCAAATAAAGGTTTCTCCGAAAAACTATTTTCTTCACTCCAAAAATCCACCAACACGGATCGTTTCGAAGTAAAATTGATGACCATGAACCTCATCTCGCGAATAATTGGTGTCCATAAACTGATATTGCTAAGTTTCTACACCTACCTAATTCGTTATTTGCAACCACATCAACGTGAGGTGACTATGATACTGGTCATATTAGCTCAGGCCTGTCATGAATTGGTACCTCCGGATGTGTTGGAGCCAGTGGTGAAAGCTATTGCAAATAACTTTGTCACCGAGCATTGTGCTGGGGAGGTGATGGCCGCAGGGTGTGGACACATTATTAATATACGTGAAAGAGAAAAACGTGCAATCCTTATTTACTATCTCTACCCGTTTTAACCAGATTAAATGCCATAAGGGAAATCTGCGTTCGTCAACCACTGGCCATTGATACCACCCTGTTACAAGATCTGACTGAATATCGGTCGGACAGAGATAAGAGTGTTATGATGGCCGCAAGGTCTTTGATCGGATTGTTTAGAGAGATTAATCCGGAATTGTTAAAGAAGAAAGACAGAGTAATTACGAATATTCGGATAGATTCTGCTCAGTGTGATAAGGGTTTCCTAGGAGTTTCTTTCTCAAGTATTTTTATATGATGTAGGGTAAAACTACAAGTATGAATATGAAGGACTTTAAACCGTTGAAATTTGGTCAATTGCGTGTCACTGAAAAAATCGAGGGAATAGAATTATTGGAAGAATATAGAAGAAATAATGTGCAAAAAGATGGTAAATATCAATTTTGGTGGTGGCTTTCAATTATTATTGCCTTCTTTATTAATTGATAATTTATTGTACGATGGCCTGTTGTTTCTTATTGAACAGAATGGGGAGGATGGGAGGTAGCTTCAAATTCCTCATCCGATGATAGCGAAGGTTGGATTGATATTTCTTCGGATGACGATCAAGATATTGTTATTAGCGATTATAGTAGTGACGATGAAAAAAAGGTTGATCAAAAAGTCAGCGAACAAAATGCTTTATCATCCGAAAACTCTACGAAAGTTGACGAAGAAAAGGCTTCGACATTGGCTACAACTGAAGTAAAATTATGTCATTCTTGTTTACGTAAACTATCAATGATCGATGTTGCTAATTTTTCTGGTTAATAAAACCAGATTCTCACCCCAGCGGATTTTGCCAAGTTAAACGAACTTAGAATGGAACATGAAGCCCAGCGGATGGTTGATGGCGGTAAACGCAAGAGGAATATTATGTATGTTCTGTTTCATGTTTTTTTTTAATTTCCCTCGCGGCGCTAACCTGTAACGTTGTTTATTCTGATTATTCATCCAACACAAAAGTCAGCAGGAGCCCTCTGATATTGTTAATGTTGATGAAATCATTGGTCCACGCAAGAAAGCAAAACAAGATTACGAAGAGCGCATGGAATCTGTAAAGGCCGGTAGAGAAGGCCGTGAGAAATACGGTGGTCCCAAAAAAGGAAAGAAGTTTGAGGGCGCAAGTACTACCAACAAAGAAAAAGCCAGGAATAAGGCTTTCATGATGGTGGTACACAAGAAGAACGTATTGCATAAAAAGAAAATGAGTCTAAGAGATAAACAGGTATACATTAGTTCAAATTTAATGTTTATTCTTAAACTTTGGAATGACATTTAATCTTTTTACTAGAATCAATTGACAAGAAGTGGTGGCAACAAAAAGATTTCGAAAAAATAATGTACATTCGCATTATATCAGCAACATCGTGATGACGGACACCGGTACAAAAGCAACGCCTAATGACTCATGTAATCATCATATGGGCAAATATATACGTTGTACTTACCTCTTTTTTTGACGTTTTGGGACAAATTCTTATCTTGAATGCAATCAAACACTAGGCGAAAAAAATCATTGATCATAATATGACATGCATTTACAGATGTCCAGTCAACTAATGCCGATAATGAAAAAAATATTAACTTATATAGGCACATAAAGTGTATAACCAATGTAGTCTATTATATATTAGTTAAGCCTTACCATTGATTATATATGTTGAATAGTTGCCATTTAGAATTTTCTTAACATTAAATTTAAATAAACAATAAAGTGCAAACAATCAGATTCAATCAGTAAAGTAATAATCATAGAAAGTATTCTATGCATAATACAATGTAATGTAATTTGATCTAGTATTATATTCAAAACGTTTATCAAATGGCCAGCTTGTCATTCTCAAAAAAAACTTTCCCAACATGATGATTTACTGTAAATTACCACCAAGAAGTTTTGATGCATAAAAATATCCAATAGGTAATATAATTCAACCGAAAATACTACTTTTAAAATGAAAGTAATCTGTCGTCATTGTAAAATCGCTTGTTCGATAATACTTCCGATGTCTATACAAATTTTATTAAGCATTTTACCCATCCCCAGGAGCGACATCCAATAACTTACAATAAATGTCTATCAAAGCGCGATTCCTATAAATGTGATAAGGTGTGATTTTTTAATATATTTTTGCAAACAGTAATAAACAAATGCATAAACTCGAGTAAAATACAAACAATCTACACATATTCTGTAATTTTTTGTCACTCAATCTCGAAAAAACATGTGCCGCCTTCGCTTCGTAATGCTCGCGATCTTTATCAAGTTGTTCATTTTCTTTTTCCAAATTCTCGCATTCGAATTTTAATTCGGAAATTTCATATTTGCATTCCTGAATCTCCAAGTTGATTTTCTGCAGGGCAATGGTCTTAAAATAAAAAGAAGGTGAGTGGAATGAAATTCTGCAGATATCGATTGACTCGAGAGACACACTTGTCCACTTAAGATCTGCTTCGCTTCTTCTATCGTGATCCCCTTTTTATTTTTCGGCATTTGTGTGTTCAGCATTACGCGTGAGGTAAGAGAAACGCGTTTCGTTTTTCGTTACACAATTTAATAAAACCTATTTTTTATTTTTTAATTAAATAAATTTGCATGCATGTAATAAATATTAATGTTTACATAAAAAATATAGCAATACTAATACTTTTATATACAATATTGGCAAAAGAAAACTGGCAATATTAATATCATTATTAAATAACAAAAATTTTTTTTTTTTTAATATTATTTTTTATTAACATCAAATATTAAACGTCATTATATTTGAAACTTTATTAAGTTTCTAATAAAAATATTATAAATAAATTTTTTGAACTTTATCAATTATAGATTAAATCAAATTTATTATTATTATTATTATTATTATTTTAAGGTAAGGGAGGCGCCAGAAATCACGTGTTTCTTTAGGGAGGGGGGGGGGGAGACCAAAGTATCATGTTCTATTTTTTATTAATTAATTATTGCTCAAATTTTTTGAGAAATATTACATTTATTGTATATAAACATTATTTAAACAAATTTTGAAACCTATTTATTATATACTATAGTTAGCTATTAGATAATTCAGACAGTATTTATACTAATGCAGCATTATGGTAATGCAGATTAATATTGTTATAATTCTAGCTGACACTATATAATATCACATGTATTATTATTTTAAAAAATTCTTATATTATATCCATTTTTAATTACCTGTTTTTTGTCAAAGCTCATAATTTTTCATATATTTTGTGTACACGCGTTAACTATTTTTATTTATATTAAAATTATGCATAAATAAAAATTCAATTTTATAATTGTTATGTATTGCAATCCATCAAAAATGATATACGTAATATGTATAAAAAGAAAAAAAAAAATCGATCTAATAATCAATAATATAAATATTCTGTTTGTATTATTGGAGAAAGAGCTCTCAAGGCTTTTCCTTAGACTGATATGCTCGAAAATCCAAATAAATCTTCCCAAGAAAGTATTAGTATATATGATATATTCAGAACAACTGAATTGCTAAGTATACTGTGAGGTATTTCAATTTCTGTTTGTGGTTTTTGTTTACTATATTCATTTTTTCGATGTTTTGTTACAAAACTAAAAGTGGAAAAATATTTTTTACACGTTATACAACAGAGCTGAGAGTGCAATTTACCAGCACTGGAAAAATAATATTTGTTATATAGAGGAATTTTTATTTGGTCAACATACTCAAATACATATATTGGATTAAGATAATACTTGTCTTTTTCTTTAATAACAGGAGGAAGAAAGCCATAATTTTTTTCTAATAAAGTTATCACATCTACTGCCTGAAATTCTTAGCAACAAGATTGGTCTTTGCATTTTTGAAGATCTAAAGAGTACCGGTATAATTGTATATGTTTCTCGATCCAACTTCAAATAGATTCAAACTTATTTTCTTCTTCAAAGAGGTTGATATGCTAATTAATGTATTCACAGATTACTTTTTTTCCATAAATCAAATCTCTCTTCCATATATTACATAGTCTCTCACCTGCATATCAAAAATTTTTGTATGCTAAATTACTATTTACTACCTTACCTTGACTATTCAAATGTGAGCCAAAGTGATCAATAAGAAAGGATATCCCGATAAGTTTTTCAAAAAGTATTGCCATACCTTGCTCAACTGGATTATAAGTAGATTTCTTAGAAGTGTGGATCTGCACAGTTAGGTAATCTAAATCTTGATTTTTAAATAGCTTAAAATATTCTAAAATATTCTTAAAATATTTTGGATTTTCATCCAGGCTTCCATTTATCAATAAGATCCAGATTGATTTTATTTTCTTTTCACATCTTGTTATTTCTTTAAATTGTTTATCATGTACAATTTTTATAAGATCTGCCATGTAATTTGTCAACATTGTTTTTATAAAATACTTCGGATATACGATAATGCCCATATAACTGGTACGAAAGGTGTTACTACTGTCTGATGGATTTATAAGCAGATACACTGATGGAATAAGTTTTTGTTTTATACCCATAGGAAAATCATGGTCTGCTATTGTCACTGGCTCATTAACAGATTGTACCATTTTGAATGTTCTTCCCACAGCAAGTATGCCTAAACCGATTTTTGCTTTGTTATCTTGGAAAATAATAATCGAATTATTTGGAAAACTTGCAATGAAGGTTTTCATCAACTTGACCGATACTAGACAATAGTACTCATTGATATATACTTTTATTTCGGATCGAACAATTGAACTAATTACTATTTAAGCCAGATGGTGGTATCACTTGGCAGCAAAAGTGGTTAAATGTCACAGAAGAAGGTATGTAAACAGAGTCTGTCTTGCAAGATAGATTTGATGTTTTTTTTCGAGTTCTTCTTTTAAATGCTTGATTGTTCTCACTTTAATCATGCTTTTTTTTTGCTTTGCAGATACTGCTCCAAATTCAACACAGTTATGAATCTTATTCCACAAATCAAAATAAATAGTAACAGCTAATGGATATCCTGGTTTATCATACATTTCAATAATGTTCTCTTCTAGCATCAGGAAATTTTTTTGGCGAAGATCTTCGCAAATCTTCGGGCGTAGACCTCCGGAGAACCTCCGTCGTCGTTAA